CTCACCATGATTGACCGTTTTTCACGTTGGACAGAGGCTATTCCCATACGCGATATATCAGCACCTACCGTTGCACGTGCATTTTATAATACGTGGATTGCCAGATACGGCACTCCAAAAATTTTATCTTCGGATCAAGGATCCCAATTTGAATCGCAAATTTTTGCATCTTTGTTAGAGGTTTGCGGGTGCAAGAGAGTACGAACCACAGCGTACCACCCAGCCGCAAACGGCATGATCGAACGATGGCACAGGTCATTAAAAACCGCATTGATGTGCCACTTGCAACAAAATTCCGGCATCGCCCGCGGATTTATGTTCGGCACTGTACTTAGACTGCCAGGCGAGTTCTTTTTGCCAGAGGATATTTCTGTTAATCCTCGTTACTTCATTGACGAGTTTAGAGATGCTATGCGCAAGGTCAAACCTGTACCTGTTTCCCATCATCACAAACCTCGCATGTTCGTTTTTAAGGATCTCTCTACATGTTCCCATGTATTTGTACGCAACAAACTGCTTAAAAAAGCTCTCGAACGTCCATATTCGGGACCATACAGAGTTATAAAGCGGATCGATGATAAAGTATTTGAAATCGACATTAATGGTTCCCATAGGAAAATAAACATTGAAAACTTGATACCCGCGTACGTTATCAGAGAGACGCTTGAGCCAAATCTCATCAACAGGCCTGAAACCCAAACTAGTGACGCCGGACCGTCCAATACTCCAACGAGCGTACCTGTTCCTTCCGGTATTAAAACATACAAACCAAAGAAACGCGTTGCAATAAACGAAGCAAAGAATAGTATTTATATTTTGCACAAATAACGTTAATACGTATAATATATAAAAAGCGTTTAATATATGTAAACAAAAAAAACAGTACATATACAATGTAGTACAAATGTGATGTAAAACCAGCGTTAGTTCTAAGGTATAAATAGTTCAACACATTGTCTTGCGTAAAATATTGTTTGTACTCAAAAAGATATGACGTTGTCACTGAGGGGGGAGTACGTATGGGGAGTCGCCCCTTCCCCTCGCGCGTACGCAGTGACAGTGCACAGGCACTAGCCGCAGAGGCGCATCTTAAACACTGATGAGTCGAAGGCGCACGAGGAACGTTGCGTTGCGACAGTTGTTGGTACGATTGATGCCAAACAGTTTTGAAAGAGGAGGTAACGACCATAGGTCGTCCATTTTCGAGACCATTCGAGTTTCGGACACAGAATCGTTAAGAGTCCAACCCGAGACTCATAGAAACAGTTTCACTCTCGTTATTGTTGAATAAAATATTGTTATTTAAACATCATCACTTCATTTGTGCATCCATCCTATGATGAGAAGAGAGGAAGTTTGAGGCCACAAGCCTCTGGTGACCCCACAAGCAAATCTTAAGTTCGGACTGTGAATACATGAGGTCTTGAGGCCACCTTATTCGAATAAGGCGAACTTGGTCAAGCAATTGCTCAAGCAATTGCTTGAGCACGGACTGTGAATACCGGCCATAAAGTTGTTAATTATTTCATTGAGTATGTTACATTTATTGAGCGAACGTAACTAACGACGAATTGCTTTGTTTTCTGTAATATTTAAACAATTTCTCAGTTGCTCTTCCATGTAACTTTTGTTTTAATCCTATGTTTTCGTCACGAGTGTGGCATACGGGCCGCGGTAACGCACGAGGCGGTTATCGCGCTCCTGCCCGCCTTGTATACGAACGCTCTGGTTGGTCAGTAATTTTTGTTAATAACTCGATAACCACGCCTCGGACAACTGTTTTGCAAAGGAAAAAGTTGTTTAAAATCACCATGGCTCCTCCCCATTTCAAGGCCTAACATTAGTTCTGGGACACTCTGTATAAGTTCCTAGAGTCATGTATTGCAACTGCAGACACGTGATGTAACGTTCATCGAATTCAATTCGTTTTCGGTTACGCTTTGTGAAACGTCGTGCGAAAATAAAGAGTCTAAGTGAGCCTAATAAAGCATTGTTGATAAGAAAAATGCCGTTCTTTATTTCTACAGAACCGGGAGTGTAGTGAGTACCAGAGATGAAAAGGGAGATTGCTCATTTCTTTGTTCGAAAGTGGACACGGCTCACTACCGCACCCTAGTGTCAATATCCATTATTTAAGGGGAAATAGATGTAGTTTAGGAGGGATTGTGCACTACTCCCCTCCAGAAGTAGACACGCCGAAGAGAGCTGAAAATATACGTATAAGATTTGCCATGCTCGTGCCTAGGGTATTCGTCTACAAGCGCTCCATCTCGCGGCCGGCTTCGTGCATCTCCTAAAAGAAGGGGCGCGTGTCGAGTGACGCAGTACGTGCGTGTGTGCGTGCTGACTGTCAGGCAAGCGAATTCTAAATTCACTCCTCGAGGCTCGGAATCTTCGACGCTTCGAGACTCGGAGTCTTCGAGGCTCCGTGTGTTCGAAACCCAGACAATCCACTCTTTTTTTCTTTGTTGTTTATTCATCTGAAAAAATTCCAACACGTCCGTAGCATAACTGGACACATCTGAGAATTATTTCAGATTTTTTTGTTACAAAATGTAACCGTGAAAAATAAGAAGGTGCTAAACATATTTTTGTTCACATAGAAATCGTTCGGATACACTGTCCATATTTTTATGATAGATTCTTATTGCCGCAAGAATTGTTCATGAATTTTTTCAGATTTTTAGGTTTGGTGCGTCAATGCGAAAAAAATCAAAAACTATGTACGTCTCATGTTGAAGTACGTAAATAAAAGACGCGCTTCCAGCAGCGGCAACAGCGAAGGGGTGATGACACGAGGTCAGCGATTGCTACGTATTTTTTTGACGTAGGCTCGCGTTCTGTCATGACACTTACAAAGGACAACAATTTACAAAGGCAATAAAATTTGAAGGGCAAGGAAGCAGCTGCTCCGGCTACCTGCCTGCCGCTCTCGGCCGGTTCAAAAGGGGCGCAGTGCATAGCTCATTATCTTAATGAGTTTTACTTCAAATGACCTGAGGTTTTGGGAAAATATTTCTAAGAAGTTCTATTTTTATATGAAAAATTCTCAGAAAAATGGATTTTTCAATGTGATTATCCCATACCCACCTTAAAC